TGTAATTTTACACCCTGTTTCCAGAGCATGCATGTTTACCCAGAAATAAGTTCCAGTGACTTGGCTGAAAGCTGCTGACCCCATGGTAAGTTGTGTTCAGGTTTGCAGCTAATAAGCGTCATCATCTCTTACAGCAAAATAATTGTGTATTATCAAGTTAAACTATAGGGAGCTAATATGTGATGAAAGAACACTTTTATGTCTTTAATGCAGTGGTGGGGTTCAACTGGTGTAACAGATTCATCTTGAGTCCAGAAGCAGTTCCATAGGTGGAAGGCATAGACACTTTGGTGAGGTACCGACGTTTAGTACTGTAAGGAGCTCCAGACCGACCGCTCTTGAGTGAGGGAGTGGAATGTCTGACAGTTTGAACTGAGGTAACGGAATGTGAGGCAACTGGGAGTTGGAACAGAGTTCTTTTCAGGTGGGGAGGGGGGGAGTAGAACTCCTTAGCATCAGAGCGTGTTAATTGCTGTATAAGAAATACTAATGAAATACTAATGATCCGAGGGTCATTTCAAAAAATCCTTTCTTACTGAGCACCTAGAAGCCAAGAGGAACATAGGTGCCAAATTTCAAGTTTGTAGGTTTCACGATTCTGGAGATTTCGTGAGTGGTACTTGGCTTTTATATTTATGTCTATATATTTATATATAAAATACAAATTAAATAGATCAGGTTTTGGATTGCCATTTTAAAAACAGGCTGAAAATGGATGATATTATAGATATTATTTGTTCTGAAGGAAATTCCAGTCCAAATTTTGAGAAAAAAAGGAAAGCTTATGGTTTCCTTACTGATATCCTGAAACAGAGGACAATCTGGGACAACTTGGAAGGGGTGATACTTACCATGAGCAAAGATTTAGGCTGACTTCCATAGAGAAAGCCAAATATTTTTTGATCAGATACAAATGAATTCCAAATCCATGTGGAGAAATGGGCCTAGAGAAGAAGAAGTCAGTGGGTGAGGAAGACACAAAAGGTGGCATTAAAAAGAAGGCGACATGGCAGAGAGAAGCAGAAAGAAAGAAAAAGATGTGGCCAAGATATCCTGTTTTCCCCAAAATACGACCTACCCTGAAAGTAAGTCCTAGCTTGATTTTTTAAACATGCACCCAATATAAGCCCTAGCCCCAAAATAAGCCCTAATTAAGATCCCGCCCACTACAGAATGGATGGGTACAAATTAAGCTAGGGTAGGGATGGTGGGGTGGAGCTGCCCTACTACTTATCTTTTGAGAGTTGTAGTCAGGCCTCGGATACCCCGGCACCTGCCTTGCTGGCCCAGTTCTTCTGCAGCCGGCAAGGCTGGAAAAGGCTTTCCTGAAGGCCTCTGGAGCTGATAACAAAACTCAGGATCGATCCAGAGATCCGTTATCCCCTGCAGAGGCCTTCAGGAAAGCCTTGCCGGCCACAGAAGAAGAAGTTCCTGAAAGCCTCTGACAGTGAAAAGGAGGCCAGTGGGGGGATGACGTGTGCAAGTGAGGTTAGTCACTGGGTGACATGCCCCGAAAGTAAGACCTGGTACCTTTTTTGGTGGCAAAAAAAAAAATAAGACAGGGTCTTATTTTCGGGGAAACACAGTAGTTGTACAGGAACCTATTATGGTGCTTAAAAATGGACATTTTTAAGTCTATCCCGTGGTATATTAATGGAGCGAATGCCCCATCTAAGCGTAAGAAAAACCTGTTTCACTATTTGAGGAAACTTAATTTGGGCAGCAAAAGATCCCAAAGCAGTAAAAAAAAAAAAAAGAACGAATGAAGTCCACTTGCCACCACTCAAACTTCAGAAAAATTGTGCAGACCTTTTGCATGGCCTTGTCAAAGAAAAACCAGCCTCTGCCTGAGGCCCAGGGCTCTTTGGCCAACCTGTTTCTAAATCAAGCAACACAAACGATTTAAATGGACGGTTAATATTTGCCCCGTCTGTTTTTTTAAACAAATTCTATTTTTCAGGCTGGGTTCCACTTAAGGCAACCTCAGACAAAGGGTGGAAATGAACTTCCTTCCTTCCTTCCTTGCAATCCATCTTGTTTAAAAAGCAAATCATCAATTTGAGAGGCCTAGCCAGGCTCTCATTAAGTCTTCGGCAATGCCCGGTGTACTGATTTCCAACACCTTGAAGGGCTGGAAAAGAATGCATTTCTTTGCAATGCCTGTGTTTATAATTTTCTACCCTCCTCCTCCCCCCTGTATCATTTTTCCCCTGTTTTTCCTGTAAACTATTCTAATACCGGTTTGCTTTCACACGATAGATCATGGCAAGACTCAGTTATGAACTGAAAACAGTTGGGTAGCATGCTTCATGTTGTGGTCATGCCACAGGTTGTTTTTGGCATGGATCTGGCATTTTGACACAGGTCCGGGTGTTTTACATACCGTATACAGCAGTAGTCACCAACCACTGGTGGTCTGCAGAGAAATGTCACCCCCAAAGCAATTAATCCAGGCTGCGTTGGGAACACAAGGCTGTGCTGCCCACATGGCCCATGGGAACACAAGGCTTGCATTGCTTGCATTGCGAACAGCATGAGGTAGTGAGGGGAGGGGGGTAAGGGGGGAGAGGGGGAACTTGCCCCATTCACCCCACGCGCCTCGTCTGGCCACCAGGCTGTTTCTTTCCGCTTCTTTCTTCTTCTTCTTTTGGCTGCACACAAGGAAAGCAGCCAAAGTCTTTCTTTCTTTCCCCCCAACTCCACCAGAAATGAGTCTTTGGGGCCCTGCAAGGCCTCCTGCTCCAAGGGGCTGCACCGGCAACGACTCATTTCTGGCGGAGTTTGGGGGAGAGAAAGAAAGACTTCTGCTGCTTATGCTGCTTTCCTTGCATGAAGCCAAAAGTCTCTCCCTCTCTCTCTCCACCCCCCCACCCCCCCGAGAACGGAGCTGGAGACGATTTCCTGCAATCCCAAATAAAGAACGATCGATCGGTAGGAAAACGGGGTGGGGGATTTTCCTGCAGACTTTTTTGGGGGGATTTTTCTCAGGGTCTCTGGTCCGCAGGATTTAAAATTATGCGTTTGGTGGTCCCTGAGGTCCAAAAGGTTGGCAACCTCTGGTATACAGCATATCAATGCCTCTTGCATCACCTTTAGTCCGGACCAAAAGCCTCCGTTAAAAAGTTTTAAAAACTTTAAAACAGTTTACTTAAAATAAAACTATTTAAAATTTACATAAAGGGAATTCCACCCATTTCCCCCCCAAATATGAGCCTAACAAACCTATTTCAAATCACTTAAAAGATAACTACAATGTTGATGGTTCTTGCTACATGCAACTCAGTTAAATGCTATACATGTTTTTCTCAATGGGACCCAAGCAATATACATATTTTTCTTTCTGTCATTCAAATAATGGAGAGAGCTTTCTAGACATTTCTTCTGTTGTCTTTTTGCCAGTTTTCCTTTATATATAATATATATATATAAAGGCAAATAGAAGAAATGTCTAGAAAGCTCACTCCATTATTTTTGACTCATATTTATGACGGTTGCAGGGTCCTGGGGTCATGTGAGTCCCTTCTGACAAGCAAAGTCAGTGGGGAAGCCAAATTCACTCAACAACAGTGTCACTCACTTAAAATCCACAATGATTCACACATAACGATTGCGATGTTCTGACCTAGGTTTCCCCAAGAGCATGAAGCCGTGTCCTCATCCTCATAAACTCCTTTTATTTAGTTAACAGTGAATTCCTCTCCATCAAAGTCCCGGCCAACAGTCTTTCAAGAGGTTTCCCAATTACAGACCTTTATCAGGCTTGGAGAGCTGCCAGGCTGATATCTTTCAGATGCCACACTGTAGCAGACAATACTTGACAAGAATGCAGGGACAGATCTTCACCCAAACAAACTAATTGTCTCCGGCAAAACCCCACTCCCCTTTCACTCCTCTTTTATTCCCTATGGGGGGGGGCATTCACTGTCCACCTGTGGCTTTACTCCCAAGTCGACCCTTGTTCCTTAGGTGTTCCCTTCTTCTGGCAGCTCTGTGCACGCACACACTAGGATCAGGCTCCAGCTGTTCTTCCTCCCCACTGGTCTCCGACTCCGAAGGCAGCTGATAACTGTCGGACAGTTGGTCCCATCTCTGCCTCTGATGCAGAGCCCTCGTCAGAGCCTTCCCCAAACTCCAGGACTGGCCCATGTTCCTCCCCAACCTCCTCACTGTCCGAATCTGCTGCCAGCTCTGCTGACCGCTGGCGGGCACAAGATGTGAAAAGAAAGGTCGTAAAAAACGGGACAAAACTCACTGAACAAGTTTCTCACTTAGCAACAGACATTTTGGGCTCGTAAGTCGAGGACTGCCTGTCGTTAGCAGGTGCTCTCTGAGCTTGCTTGTTTTCTTGTAGATGTTTCATGACCCAACTCGGTAACATCATCAATGCTAGAAGGGAGTAAGATTTGCAGAAAGGAGGAGGAGGAGGGAAGGGGGAGGAGGAGGAGGACTGTGGAGTCCTTGGTATCCTCTGAGCTTGCTTGTTTTCTTGTAGACGTTTCATGACCCAACTAGGTAACATCATCAGTGCTAGAAAGGGATGATGTTTTCTGTCAGTTTATATTCTGGTGCCTTGCCCTGTCTGTGTGGGTGAGGACGGCCTTAGAGGTTCTTTGGTTGGGGTGTTTATTGATGGCTCTTTGGCACTTTCTTGTTTGGGTATTGTTGGCTTGAATTGTTGGTCTGAAGTTAACCTTGGAGTTATTGTATAATAAACAATTACTGTAACCAACTTGTGGAAAATTAACCCCGGTATCTTCTCGCAGCTTTGATTTCTTAAAGTTACCAAGTTTGGAGATCCCTGCACTTCAGCCAAAAAAAATTATTCTGGTCTTCTCCAAAATGGTGTTCCAGCCACCACCATGCCTGTTGTGTTGGCCAGTGAGAGTGCACTCCCTTTGGATAGTGCCATGCAGCCGAACACTCCATGGTTGGGATTGTATTTCTCCAGAAACAATCCTGTCCCATCCGACCAATTAATTTTCCCCTCTTTTCTTTTACAGCAAGTCACCGGAAAAACTTTCGGCGATAAACATTTTCGATCAGGATTAGAAAATGGCGTGCTGCTGTGTGAGTAAGTAACAAAGATTTTTTTTTACATTCCCAGAATAGAATAGAATATTATAGAATGAAGTTTGGAACAGAATAGAATAAAGTTTAGAATAGAATAGAATTATAGAATGAAGTTTAGAATAGAATAGAATAGAATAGAATAGAATAGAATAGAATAGAATA